GAAGGGGGGGGGGGGGTATTTGGAGTCTTTTAGCCACAGTTCGAAGCCCTGACATATCGATCTCTTTTAGCCACGGTTCAAGGTCCCAACGTATTTTGTTTTGCCACGGTTCAAGGTCCCGACGTATTTTATTTTGCCACGGTTCGAGGCCCCATCATATCTCTATTCGCCTTGGTTCGAATCCTAACATGTGGTTCATTTGGGTTCTTCGGGGTGCCTTCACCAAAGTTCAAGTCTAGAGTCAGCCATTTTAAGTTCTTGAAAGCTTTTAATATAACTAGTGTTATTCATAGTACTTCTGTGTACTTATCAGGCTTATGTGAGTCCAAACTCGTTTGAGTTATTTACTTTCCAATTGCGCACAGGTATACATACTTTCTGGGCTTATAGGGGTCCAGTTAGGTTATAGATAATTGTTTTACTTTACTACTTTGTTCTTTCCAGACTCGTGAGCTATATAGTTAGACTTTCCGTTATTACTTTGTTCATTTGACCTCTAATTACCGTTACATTCATATTTTTCATATTGTTTTTACTTTCCATGCCCAGTCGACCTATGATGCTACTGGGCACCTGTTGTTTTGATATTATGCTACACTCCACATCTGTTTTCTTGATGTAGATTTGAGCGCCAGCTGATAATGGTGATTCGAGCCTAAGAAATGCGGAGATCTTCTGAGATGAAGGGTGAGCTGATGGCATCCTAGTTCGACTTATCTCCATATGTATATAGTTTTTTAATGTCTTTTGTATTCGAGACAAGTCTATTAAGTTAGTGAATAGCATAGGCTCGAAACTATGACTAGAACATTGAGTGCATGACATGCACATCTTACTCCTTATTTTCCCTATTCGTACCTGTTTTTTTCATACTTTCTAACTTCACTGGTACATTATTCCTTGTTAAGGAAAATTATGTAAACAACTAGTTCTTTGATTGATACAACTAATTCACATTAAATAATAACTAGAATCTTATTACATTTTTGAACTGTTAAACTAGAAACAAGATTTAGGATAAGGGAACTATTTATTAACTTCACTTCTCCTTATTAGTGTCAAAAGTTTCTCGTTTAGGAAATATGAAGTTTTGAAGGACTAATAGTATATTATCCTTTTTTAAAATTGAACTCTATCCAATGGTTGATTCTATTTATGAATCAATTCCTTAGGTGCATTATTTCCATAGGTTTCAACATTGGTAACAAAATCTAGCTTTCTCGCTTAAATTGACATATTTCTATACTTCCCTCATCTTATCTATCACTGAGGCCGCTCCCATCTTATCCCTTATATCCTTATTTATAATTTTTATCGCTCCGAGTATGAACGTGCATCCACCTCAATATATATTCACATCTCTGCAACATGCATCTTCTAGACATGGGACTTGACTGGCCAACTCTCATTTCCATACAACAATTACATACACACTCTATATAAATACACACATACATATATTGATGGAAAAATCATCAACAGATGAAACTTAAGCAATACTCCCTCCATCTCAATTAATGTGACAGTCGGAATTTTGTCTTTTAA